TATACCCAAAAATTCTTCATACAGTGGACTACCAGTAAAATTGATAAAAAGTTGGGACCAAAAATTATTCAGACACATTTGACCTGACCATGTTTTGCTTAAGTGTTTTTCTTTAATTACTAATGCGACCTTTTTACACCACAGACTGAACAAAATTAAGCATTGCTTGGTAATTGGTTATATATATAATACTTTTTGATGGTTTTAATGATTTGAGAAATAATTCTTAATCTTTTGTCTTCTTTCAGGATCATCTTGTTTCTGGACAGTCATGCCCTTACAGAAGAAAATGCACTGATTAAATACAACATTTTTGCTCTTTGCCCTTTGTAAATGAACTTTCTTCCCAGCTTCTCGTCTTCTCTGTTTTTAATGTATCCTGCTTTAGTTTTCAGTCTTCTCACACACATGCACACTCGCACTCTTCCCCCTTAAAAACAGTGAAAGTAAGCAAAGTGAGCTGGAGTCCCTTTACGTTTGCTGCATATTTTATCACTGTTGGAGAACAAGCATTTACTCAACTAGAGAATGGTACATGTCAGGGCCATGCTTTATTCTTTCTTCCTCCAGCGCTTAAAAGCCACCAATGTGTTCACCAGACAAGTTATACGAGAAACCAGTCAGACAGACATGCACATACATCTTCTCCCAATCCCTCGTTCCCAATAAAATGCTTTGTCCCGGTCTTTCTTTCCCTGAATTTCTTTATTAGTTAAGATGATGTTTATGGTGAAGTCAAATAGTAAAATGCACATTGGCCTTGCTATACATCGAGAAAATATTCAAAAATGTCTTATCACCAATTGCCACCTTCATTCATGATTTGGAGCTGTGATTTCACAACATTTATACAACATCTCTCTTATGACATATTCACAGTTAGTGAAGTCACAGTTGCAATTATACCAGTAGACCACCATATACATCCTTTGTAATTATTTTGTAGAATCTCTGCTATCAATATATGCAGTTGTTTGTACAGTAGATCTCATCTGCTCCTCATTTGCTTGTAGTCATCCTTAGCTTAGTTTTAATATATTCAAGAAACGGCTATGAGGCTTGGTCCTGAAGATGCAGAACATTTCTTTATAAGGAGACCAGATCACACATCTGCTCACACAGGTGGATAAAAATGCATCGTCATATCCCGTTTGTTCCTTTGGCCCTACACACCATTTCCTCTCACTTTGTTTTGCTTTACTTTATGACCGTTTACTTTGAGAGATTCAAATGGTTCTGATTTTCATCAGCCATCTTCAGCTTTAGTGCACTTTTAATTCTTTGCTTGCACATTTTCTACTTCATGCCCTAGAATTTTTGTGGTCTCACTGGGTTTTATATAAAATCAACATTAATGTCCTGATAATTTTGAGTGTAAGGGACATCACACCTTTGTTCCTGGTTGCTCATAAATGTAAATGGGTAAATATACATGTACTTGTAAAGTATCTCTAGAGTAAGTTCATTGAAATCATGGATCTGTTGTCACAACGGGAAAATATCTGAGTGTGGTGCTTGTAACAGAATATCTGTCAGTTGATTTAGGAATGTTTCCTCCTTTTTGTTGTAGATTGTAATGTTTGCATGTTGTACCCCATCAGAGGTGGTTTATTTATTAAATTGGTGTTAAAAAAGGAGTAATAAAAGTGACTATAAATGTATGTTAAACAGAGTGGGTGGGTGTGGACAATATCCAACATGTGTGTGAATTTCTAATGTTGAGAATTGTGCTTGCTGTTAATTTAACGATTGCTGTTAAACTTTTTGACAGGTACAGTGCATGTTTTCTCAGTTGGTTTTACACTGGTTTAATTATAAAGCATTTGTTGCACTTGATGATTGGAAAACATGTACTGAAAGAGTCGGTTTGAACCTGGCCTCATCAATATGCAGTTTTTATGCATGAATACACCAGGCTAACCAGAATAAACACCAAATTTCTCACTCATCCCAATGTTGTAATTAAGAAAAAGACTATTAAAATCTCCAGCTCCAAAGGCATTAGTTCTCAACAGGTGGGTTTCCCAACCAGGAATTTCAGAATTACTGTAGTTCAAAAATTAGAACATGGTGCTAGCTGTGCTAATGGTGTGAATTTGATTCCCAGGGAATGCATGAACTGATCAATTGTATACCTTGAATGCAACGCAAGTCACTTTGGATATACCAAATGCATCAATGTTAAATAGAATGTAAATGAATTTTTTAAAAATGTTTAAATTCTACCTATGACATCATGTTAATAGTCTTAATAATGAGATCTATGCACACCAGCTGCCTATGTACTTATGCTAAAATTTCAGTGTTCATGAGCTTCCGATATATTTAGGTATTCTCCGATATTCTCCCATAGCAAACTGTGGGAGATTATATATATCTCCCACAGTTTTATATGTGTGTGCTCAAAAACGGATAACTCAGTTTTCAACAATTTTCAAAAAATCATGTTTTTTCATTGTGCATGGCAATTAATCTCAATCAAACATGCAGTTGGGTTATTTTAAGTAAAAATAACTAAAAAATACAGCTAACTAACACAATAAAACACAAAAACGTAACAATAAAAAACATGATTTTTGAAAATTTAAAATCAGAGTTATCTGTTTTTGCAAATAAACTCTTAAAGGGGTCATATGATGCAATTTCAAGTTTTCCTTTCTCTTTCAGCGCATTTTACGGAGAACTGTTTCCTGAACCTGGGAGAGTAGCCTACACTGCCGTCTGTTCTGACTCACAGTCTGTAAGTACGTTTTCATATTTAAAGAATTTGCCACTG